TATTATTGTCATATACATATACTATCATATATTAATATATGCTTACAACATATGCTACCAAATTACTGTTATCATTATTATTATATTATTAGTAAAATTAATGTTATTGCAGCTATTGTCATTACTGCTTGCCCTTTTCTCTCTGTCTCTGTCTCTCTGGGTCTCTCTCTGTCTGTCTCTCTTTATGTATCATTCTGTCATATGGATTACTGTAAGTTTATTATGTGCATCTGTTCTGTCCACACGACATCTATTGCACGTATGTTCGTCCTGTCATCAGTTGCTCTTCCTGGGGTTTCTACCATTTTTTTCCCCTCATCAAAGGGTTTTTTTGGGGGGAGTGTTTGCCTTATCCGCTGTGAGGGTCCAAAGGACAGAGAGATGATGAATGTTGTAAAGCCCTCTTAGGCAAATTGTTATTTGTAATATTGGGCTTCAAAAATAAAATTGAGCTGCATTGAGCCGTGACATTTAAAAATGAAATATTGATATCATGTGAATAAAACACACATGATAATATTATGGAAATAATCCAGCGCCTCTTAAATCATCACTTTTTTTTGTTCTTGCATTGTCTCCTTCTTCCAACACCATCTGCTTGCCTTTTTACTGTCCATTAAGTGAAATCGCTCTTTGTTTTACACATTCTTTTTCACAAAAGTAATAGTTACAGACACTCTCTCCATCTCCCTACACTTGTATTTTGATTTTAATTACTTTGCTAAAACAAGAGACAAAACCCACAATAAACAAAATTATAGATGAGGAAAAAAGAGATGAGTGGTAGCTCTGTATCCTCAAGAGTACAACAAAATAAATGGTCGTGTGCTCATAGAAAACAGGGAGCAACAGGACACAAAGGAATGCAATCCAAGTACTCCCACAATATCTAAATGTTTAAGGAAATACTAGAAAGCCTTTATCAGGGTGGCTAAATCATTAAAAGAGCCACCGTGTTTCAACCACTGTAGGTCTTCTTCAGAGCTTTAAAGCTCTTTTAATGATTTAGCCACCATAATTAAGACCTTTTAATATTTCCTTCCTCATTTACATATTTTGGAGTCCCTGGATTGCCTTCCTGTGTGAAAATATAGATTAGTTTGACTGATAGCATCATCATTGTTATTATTATTTTCAAATTATCTATAAATATCAGGATAATGTCATTATCACAAACCCTTTAGCCACCATAATAAAGTACTGAAAATCTGATATCATGCCAGCCCTAGTGTGCAGTCTAAGTTGCAGTCCATAAATTCCGCCACATGAAATATGACAATGGAGCTCTATTGTTGTTTGTATGCATGCCTATGTGTGTTTGTATTTTGTAAGCAGCGGGAATGCATGCTGTCATCAGAATCAAAGAGTCCAGAGAAAGAAAGAGCTGAATCAGGTCCAGTCATGTGCTTTTAGACAGACACACAAACTGACACCAGGACACAGACAGGCAGACAGTGGGGAGACAGAGCCAGAGGGTGAAACACAACTAAACAGACCAAAGGTGAACTGGAGCTCGGCAGCTTACTAAAACTTGTCAAATTACAGCTGAATATGTAGCAAAAATGATCCTCCCCCTACATTTGAACCCTGGCAGCAAATAGGCCTACGGGCTACAGAGAGTGAACAGAAGAGGGCAGAAAGCACGCTCCAGGCTGAGACAGGGGGTATGTGGGTAGTGTATTTATTCAGCTCCATGATTATTAGAACTCTATTGTACTTTACGCCTCTGGCATCCTTTTCTACAGTCAGCTATTCATACTGCTTGACCTAGAATGATGAGTCTCCTGCTAGTGGGATGTTTCGCTGTACGGAACGGGAGCTATACAATGTGTTATTTCTTTATTGTGAAATGAAATTGTGCAATGAGGTGTAGCATCAAGACCAAACAGCAGGTCCCGTTCCAGTTCAGTTATATGGATGGGTGAATGCAAAATGCAGAGGACCTTCACTTTTTCTCAAACGCATCAGTGGTGATCAGTAGTGTCTTAGATTACAGAGGCACACACAAACAAACTAAAAGGAAAAATAGAAGTATGTGGAGCTTTGAGCCAGCTAAATTGCTTTTTGTTGGGTTTACATTATCTGCAGACAGGAAAAATAAGATAGATATTTCATTCTAACAGTGTATGAATGTGGCTGCGGTGTGCATGATTGCCATCTACCGAAGAAATTTCTGTTCAGTATAAGCCATAATGCACAGAATGGAAAGCAGGGAGTTGACTGCATCCTCTATACTGCAGATCTGGTGGAGGGCCAACTGGGAAATTGTTGGATTTAACCCACTTCAGCTTGTCTCCTTGCCCACTGTCACAGGGACTTATTTTAGCAATGGTAGAGCAACACATTTAAACCAAATGTGTGATCTACTTATGTATTTAACTTTATCTGATCTGAAACTTTCAGACTGGATTCATCACCAAACTGTGCCATGACACAATCCCGTTTTAAAGCTAAGCGCTATGGACAACACATTCTCTCTATTCTCTAACGCACTGACAAAATACTTAACTTGAAACACAAAAACAGAGACCAAAAAATGAACATCAGCAGTACCTGCAAGCAGAGACCCACATAGAGCTTAGTGGGGTGTGTTATGAAGAGCCTGGGGCTACAGTTTCAACATGGCCTGATTTCAGAGCATAATGAACACAACATAATCAATTCACTCTTTCTAATCTGTCTAATCACTGTCTCTCTCTAACACACACGTACACACCCTACGCAGGTTAAGTGAAAAATTAAAAGAGGAGGTGAGATACTCTTGTGGTGACACATAAGGGAACAGTGCTGCAATTTCTCACACAAGAACTTACACAAACATGCTAAAAAAAAAAACAGGGATACATCGAAATTATGGTTTAGTTCAGTTTAGCAGTCACGTTTCAGTGCAAGCTGGGTACAGCAGAAAAATCATGGTGATAAGCAAGTCTGGGTGTTGCTGTTGAATGTGTGTTAGCATGTTGGATGTGCTACTATTCATATAGGAGCAATTATACACAGCTCTCTCTACTTTGCAGCTGACTGGGAACCTGCGGGCAGGTCTTCCAGCTATGGCATTACATCTGCACACTACAGTGTGACTGACTTGCACACAAATCTGCTTGTTGTGCTAACCTCAGCATAAGTTGCCAACAGCTAAAAGTTTGTGGGTAGAGCCTGCACTTGTGAACTTTGGTTCTGCATTACATACATCAATCTACAGGGACTGTATTCTGTGTGTGCAACCGTGTGCATCAGATGCAGACACATCGACAAACACAAATATTGTTACAGCCCTACTAGAAAAGTAGTAGCACACAGACCATATTAAGGTTGGGGCAGTAGCCCACTGTATGGAGTGTATTAGGTATGCAATCTTAAATAAGACTGTCACTCTATAAGCAAGGGCCAAAGCAAAGGAACACAAATCACACTTTAGCACAGAGTGTAGTTTTAATGAAGCTTAGGGTACGCTCAATCAGGAAGACTTTCTTTATGCTTCAATCATTCACAATTTTCTCTCTCCATCTCACTCCCCTCGCTTCTCCCAGTCAGCTCATTACAGGCAATCGCTCTTCCCAGTTAAACCAATCAAATTTCACTCAGCAAATAATGCTACTGCTGTCTTCTCTGCTGCTGTCAGCTGCGCCCTCCTACACCCCATCAAACTCCAGTTATCATATCTAGTGCTCAGGTCAAGCTCATCAAAAGTCAACTCCTCATCACATCTAGATCCTCAGCACCCTCCTCATCTCGCCATCACTACCAGTGTCTAGGCTCCATAGGTGGGGTATCTTATTCTACTACTACTTCACCACCCCCTTTAAAATATATCACATCACGATCGCTGTGATGTCATGTATCATCTAACTGCCAAGGACTTTATACATATTAGTCAGTCTCTCCTGAGTAATATGGCTGTTACCTAGCTGGATTTGTAAGCACATGAAAAACAAAGTTACAAAACCAGAGAAACGGCATGTGGTAAAACTGTAAATGATGGGCTTTATACCCCATAGATTCTGAACTCTATCAGAAACTGACCAACTAGACTAATGGAAGCCATATTTATGAAGGATATTTTGTATAGAATGTTAGCCTGCCCATTTGTGCAGTAGCTCAGGTCAAGCTGCCCAGAGGGCGTCCTGCTGACAGCTGCCACCTGCTGAGCCTTCACTGACTAAGACTGACAGCTCTGAGACTCTCAGCGGAGGCTCACAGAAAATAATGTATGTGGCAGTTATTTTGCTTAACAAGTTTACCCACTGTGCCACAGCTATTACACTGTCTTTTCGGCTCTTTGCAGCTTTGTGTCTCTCCAGCACAAACACACACACACACAGTGAGGCCGTCTCCATCAGAGAGCATCAATAGCAGGTTATGACAGCATTGTGACACAAGCGGGGCATTATGATAACAGACAGTGAAGACCACAAGGCAGATTCTGTCCCAGAGAGACCCACTGGCACACACACATTGTCATGTGCATGCATAAACACATTTTCACAGACACACACACGTGCACCCGCATGTGCACAAACACAGCCTTGTATACAGGAATGTCTGCCACATACAGACACACACACACAAATGTTTGCCTTATTTAGTCAGAGATCCAAAAGCAAAACACAACCACTCACACTGACCACAACTAGACAAAACGTTCACTAACATATCAGGCACACACACACACACACACAAATAGACACAGTGATCCAAGCCTACGGTTAGTAACTGAACCAGTGCAGGGAGAAACATTAGCATTCTGTCAAGGTTTCAGACAAGACTGCACCAGCTCTTCACACAGCCAACATGCAGCAGAGCATAACAACAGAACGAAAGCCAGAGAGAGAAAGGGAGAGAGAGCTTAGACAGGTAGGCAGGGATGAGTTGGGGAGTGTTCGGGAATAATTAGAGACAGAAAGTATGAAAAACAGAGAAACAGAGGAGGAAAAATATGTGCTTACACCAGAGATAATGACAAAATTAAATTATAGAGATGATGAAAGCAATTGGGGTACCTTACTATTGAGTCTGGCCTTCCTGGCTTCTTTAGTTTTCCTTTCTCTTCTCTGGGCAGCTTGTCTTCTGCCCAGAGCGGATCCCATCTCACACACACACAGACACACTCGCCGTCACAAACACACTTCCGTAGGTCAGCTACAGTCCCAGTGCCAAAACATCATCCACATGGCCATATCCAGTCCCCCTCCTCCTCGTCTCCTCTCCCCTTGTTCTCTCTCCTTCTCCTTCACTACCTCTCGGCTTGTCAAAGTAGCACATGCACGCTCACATGGTCACTCACACAAACACTCGTCCAAGCACAGACGTACACACTGACTCCTGTGCATGCACAGACAGACGGAGAGATGGCAAGGGGTGATTTTGCAGGATGCTGGAGAGAACAGAGGGAGGGTGGGGAGAGTGAGAGCTAGAGAAGAGGGAGGGAAAATAGAGGGAGGAGAGAAAGCGTAAGATAGAGGGAGGTTAAGCAGAAAGAGAAAATAAGGGGGAAAATGGGTGGGGTGTAGAAGCTAGGAAAGATACGGATATTCAAAGGGAAAGGAAATAAAGAAAAGAACAGGACAAAGACATAAATATACTGTAGGACACTGGTGCAATCTCTGTATCACAGTCTAAGCCAAGTGTTAGATGACAGACAGAGCCTTTTGACTACTGACTGATGCTCATGTCTTTGAATCTAAGTGTTCCTGAAAATATGGTTACATTTAAATGCAAAATGTTTGTACAATTTATTTGTACAAATAACCCAATTGGCAACTCCACACAGTCACAGTATGTGGAGTAGTGTCACACATATTAAAACATCAACAAAACCACACAGACACATACGGTCTCTCAAATCAGAAACAGCAAAAAAAAAAAAAAACATGTCAGCTGAGCCCCTCGATTCAACTGGGAAAACATTTTGAAAAATCCCAAGTTCCATGTCTGTATTTGTTTGTCTGTGTGTGTGTGTGTGTGTGTGTGTGTGTGTGTGTGTGCACACTCTTATTTCTACCCAGATATCTCTTTACTTTTTTCAAAGTACAAAATTTCTCTTCTTTTTAAGGGATTATCCATAAGGGGAGCTATGTGTGAGAGGGATTCCCCACTGGAAATATCCTCTCATCCTGTGCCATGCAGCTGTGCTGGTGTGTGTCTGAGTGCATGTTGTGCATGTGTATATGTGTGTGTACTATGCAGAAATCCCACATCAAATTTCATGATGGCTGCAGTAGCAATAACACTGCACTGATATGAGGGTTTAGGCACTATACAAATGCTCTGTGGGATCTGGCATCTCAGAACAATATCACACCTACAATGAGCTACATTCTCTGTGTGGTTTCACTGTAAATTGAAAATAATGCAGGAATTCTCATTCATAAATACAATAAGCCGCTAACAACAATACAAAGCCTGAGTGTAGGAGGAATAGCAATACTCTGCATTACGTTTTATAGTGGATCCGTTTATGAATGCTTTCCCACACATGTACACTGTCACAAAAAAAGGCATGATATGAGCATTGGTTTGGCTTGTGAATCATACTGAACAAGACTAATCATTTTTACCCAAGCAAATTCTTTTGATAGCGTGTGCAATTTCTCAGCGGGTTTATGATATTAGCACAATTGAAATGCCCTCACTCTGGCAGTCTGCTCTGTGGAGTCTGTGACCACATTACCAAATAGTGCGTTACTAAACGCTCTCCACGACTGTATATGCCTCTTTAGTTTCTTCCAACCCACCCCCTCCCTGGCGATCTCTGTGACCACTACGCCCAGGGCTTTCATTCATATTATATATGCATGTACAGCGTACTCATGTTTCCATCTTTCTAGCCATCCAACCAACTAGTCTTTCATGGCTATTGTCTATATATCTTTAATTGGCTGCAAAATTATAAAAGCCCAATCATCTTAAAACTTGCATGAGATCTGTTCCCCAGAACATATATGAAGAGTTCATCACAAGGTCACATAAACTGTAGCTGCACTGATCAACTTTAGTACTAAAGCATTAGTACTCTGCTCCTCATAAATAAGACAGAAAGATGGAGGTGATCATGCTCTTAACATGTCACTGTGAAAAGTGGATAAATGATTCATACTGTACATCTACAGTATTGGCCTTTCATGTGATGTGCAGGGATTAAAAAATAGCATCTCGGTTTTAAAATTGCACCTCGATATACTGACAGCATTATGTACTGTGAAATGTTAAAGATATATATATACAGAGAAAAGATGTGGTATTGTAACACAGTGAAGACAAAGTTTATGAGAGAATTTAAGGGTAAAAACAAGTTTTTAGATGGTAACAGTCATTAAGTCAGTTTGAGTCAAGTGCATAAATGACTTATAAAAAACAGCTGGGGGGGGGGACTTCTATCAGTGGAAGCTCTTTGTCAAACTGCAAGAAAGCCATCCATTCTGCAGCCCTGTTTATCACATGGCAGTCCTCCTACACCAAACACCCACTCACATGCACTCTTTTTTTCTCCTAAAAGTATACTATGTAAATGTTCTCTGCAGCCACCTCTGTGTTGTTAACCAGGACAGAGTCGGGTGAGGAGGTCTGCCTGGGTCGGGTGTAGAGGGGAAAAAAAAAGAATGGGAAAATCCTATCAATTATGACCTCATTTCAAACTTTAGCCCGCGGCTAATGAGCTCCATACCAGCAAAGTAGGCTAATGCTTGACCTCTGCCTAACAGGGCAGCTTGCTGCAGGATGAATTGTGAATATCGTGACTGCCAAGGCTGCAAGAGTCACCCATAACAAGATTTCCCTCTTTACCTCTGGAAGTCATTATGCAACAAAAGCAAATGTGCCATTCAGGAAAAAAAAGAGAGAGGGGGGCAAACGTCAATGCTCCATTACTTTGTAACACCGCTTGCTTAAAGCTCATCTTCGTTAATGCAGGCACAAGAGAATATTTTCTTTTTATTACCACTGCCTAGACAGAGACCTGTATAGAGCCTTTAACATTCATGATTGAATAATTAGCATACTACTGCTACGAATAATTAATACACCACTTGCCTTTTCAAACATCTACATATATTAAACACAATAGTCAAATAGCAGTTGACTCTGACCATGAAATTAAATAGTGCCATAAACTGAGCTGCATTCCTTCTAAATTATTTTCACTGAGGAGGCAGTGGGTGGTGTAGCCTGCTACAGCATTCAGGTTGTATAGTAAGTGTAATTAGGCCTTTACAATCAATCATAATGTATAATCTGTACAAAATATTTTGCAAACACAAATAAACACCAGCGTTTTACAAATGCATGCATTATGACAGATACTTGACTCGATATCTCAGATAATGACCAGTGTCTCTGTGTTCAGGTGTCACTGTGTTGAGAGACATGCAGATAATTAATGGAGGAAAACAAGAATTTACTGTGACTGTTTCTGGAGCTTCTACAGCCAAATTACCACCTTCAGTCTCTCCAATAACACAGCTGTCCTGGATTAGTCATTGCTGAAAAAAAAAATAGCTCAAGCAACACCGTGGCTTTCACTGCCCATTCACACATTCAGGTTTGTACTCAGCATGATCGAGTTAGAGGCTGGGAGATTCACACTCTTTTCTTCATCTGAACATTTTACCAGTTCAACATTGGCTGGCCGGTGAGGCAGGCCAGTCACAACAAGTGATCTCTTTATAGATGATTTATTGTGTGAAATTACTACCTAAATTGCAGCTGGGCTGAAACTGATCTTGGTTGAGTAACACTCATATACTATGTCATAGCGATGTAGCACAGTAGCAGACGGCAGCACCTCACACCAGACTGGTTAGACAAGAGACAATATTTGAGAGTATGACTCATCCTTCTCATCACAGCTTTCTTGCATCTGCGTCTCATTCACTATTTTTTTGTTCTCTCTGACACTCTCAATAAAGTACACTGCAGAATACACTCACTGCCCATGAAAAAGAGGTGGACGAAACAGCCCAACAAAGAACTGAATGAAAAATCCCCTCTTTTTCTAAGAAACCATGTTCAATGATATTTCAAATCTCCCACGCACAAATCCAGGATTCAGCCCTGGATTCCCAAAACAGGCCACATTTTGGCCTCTACTTTCCAAATGTTCAACTAAATGTTGAAAAGTCTCTCTAAGGGAATTGGACCCTGACAGAAAAGGACCATACTGTATGCCACATTTCTGTGAAAACAATGCCTGTAGCCACATGCTCTGCTTATTCATTGCATATAGAATACATGAGCGGTTATATTTTCCGTAACTGCTTATCCTGTTGGGGGTCGCAGGGGCGCTGCAACCCATCCCAGCTGACACTGGGTGAGAAGTGTGGTACACCCTGGACAGTTCGCCAGACTATTGCAGGACTGACACATAGAGACAGACATTCACACCTACACCTACACCTACCTTCACGCAATTTAGAGTCACCAATTAATCTGCACGTCTTTGGACTGTGGGAGGAATCCGGAGTACCTGGATAAAACCCATGCTGACACGAAGAGAACATACAGGCTCCGCACAGGAACTCTCTTGCTGTGAGGTGACAATACTAACCATTGCACCACCATGCCACCTAATAGATAGAGAATAAAATATAGATATATAATAGTATCTTGCAATACCCTTGACAGATAGCTCTGAATTGCTGTTGTTCTGTTTGTTCCTTCAAGGGATACTTTGCTGATTTTCAACCAGCTTTGTATAATGACAATGTAGGTAGTACATGTAAATGCACAGTGGTAGACTTCCCTTCATCTTACCAGCACCCAGATCTCCCTGCTCCTCTCCCAGCTCAAATCCACTGGCTCTGGGGCTCTTGCTCGAAATACAGATTGTACTTCCGCATTTTTGTATGCCCACCACCATGGACATAGCAAGTAGAAACGTAGATAGAGTAAGATCCAGCTCTGTTGCTTTCTGTCAAACTGAGACTTAAACTCTAATCATATAGTAAAATCAGGCAGCGCCAATCAAATATAAACCTAGATTCTGTCACTGTATTGCCTATTCCTCGCTTATAAGTCTTATAAACATTTCAGTGCACTACTTCGCTGTAATACAAGAATTTGTAAAGAGGAAGTAAGGACCATACTGTTTCCTGTATTGCAAAAAAGGAGGCTGAAAAAACTGAAATCAAACTTTACTACTAAGCAGTGCTGATAAAATATGAACAAAGATTATGTTACTGCGTTGCCTATTTCTCACCTCAGATGTTTTTAGAGACATATGTTATCTTACTGTTTCACTGTCGCCACAGTTTCCTGTGTCAAAACAAAAACGATTGCATTAAGTCACCCACCAGCTGGAGCATCTATTGGTCTG